AGTCTTTTGTTTCCCCTTGCCTTCCTGAAAGGTGAAATTGCCTTTCAATGTTTCCAATATCCTTGGATCCACACAACTCTGCACCCACCAGCTTGTGAGCTTCCTGTATTCTACATCATTGCATGTGGCTATGTGAGTCTGAAGAGAGACTTATGAACTAGGATCAAACTTAATTCATTTGAGTTGAATTGGCCTAGGATACCTTCTTCCTATATAATTACTTCTTCTTTATATGGGTCCTTTCTTATACATGGATGATGCCATTGGATGTCAACCTGGAGTGTCATTGGAGTGTCAACCTGACCTAACATGCCCACAAATGAGTAGCTTGATGGTTTGTGACTTACAAGCCTTACTTAAATACCCTACTTCTTGATCTTTTGTACTAAGGATAGAAATACAGCAAGATCAGAGTTGAAGGAAAAACTTGAAAGACAGGAGGTTCCTAAGTAAAGCAAAAAGTCAAGCTCCTCTTGATTAGTGGTCCCTTCAAAGTCCAAAATCTGTTGCTTAATAAGCATAATGGTTTGGGTGTACAATCTAGTAGTAAAATTATTAATACAACTCTTAACTCCAAACAGGAAAAATAAAAAGACTAACCCAGTTTGTACTATGAACTATATATGTCCAGAACATAACCCTTTAGGGGAGCTATTTAAAGATATTTACGAAATCAAAGAAAGGAATTCATTCCATCATTGTTGATGTGCAACCAAATAGACTTCTGACTTATCTTTTTTGTTGTTGTTGACATGGAACTTTTTATGTTATGTATGTATTACTACTTTTTTTTTAATTAAAAAGGAATGCACAACTAAAAAGAAAATTGTCAAAATAAATGAACAGATATTTACCAGAAAGGATGAAGCTCAAGCTCCCACCCCCACCCCAAACACACACACACAAACACAGATACCACCACCAGCAGCATTATTTTTCTCCATCAGATTATTTAATGAAAAGACACCTAAGCACCTAATATTTGCTGTGGACTGAGTGTGGGGAAAGATAAATATGCACAACTTTGGAGTGGTCTTGGGAAACAACTATAAGAATTCAAGATGTATGCATGCCCCTTGGCCTAGAACTTCATTGTCTGGTTTTTATCCTAGAAAAATACTTGCCATGACACTGTGTATCCTCTGTGGTGCCATTTCACCACAGGACACATCTCAAAGTCTGAAAAGTACATCTTGCATTTTAAGTAGTTGGTGGTGCTCTGTGCTGAATGGAAAATGGAAGCAAAGCGATGTTAAAATATTTTATTAAAATCATCAAAAAAAATAATTCTCCTTTATCTTGGTCTCACTCACTACCTACTGAATTCTGTGTTTTTTGTTTATTGAGAGGAAAATATTTACCAGCTCAGTCTTAGATTACCTATTCTGAGTATTTTAGAATTGAATAATAAAATTAACTTTGTGGTTCTGGTTCAAAGCTTTAAAAAAAAAAAGTCCATGCCTACAGTGGCAGCTAGCCTCTGATGTCTCTGCTTCCACTGAGGATGTTTGTGGTGGCTCCCCCTTTGTGGGTGCCATCACTTCACCACTGCTCAAGAGGCCACAAAAATCACTTCCTTCCAGGTGACGAAGTTCTGCACTTGTCCTACTCTGGGCAGACCCAATATGAGGCACAGGACTGCCTAGATCCCAAGGTCAGTATGTCTTGACCCAGAATCTCAATCTCCTCAGAGACCCTCTGCTCATTTCCACACTGGACAGAGAGGGATCCATTTATTGCACTTTTTGTTGAACCCAAATCGTTTGGCCATATTTAGAAGAGCCATTCCTCAATAATTTATCTGCTATTTACTTACATGAAAAAAATCAGCAACACAACTTGGGGTACTTATTATAAACAGAAAAAGGTGACTTGACTTCACTTCCCGTATTTTCGGAATCTTCCCATTTTGAAATTCCTTTCTCCTAATCAGATCATGTGTCAATGCCTGGAGCACGTGGTCATTGGTGAAGCATCTTTTAAATGTGTTATTCTAGCAGGTAGTTAAATTTTTTTGTACTAGCTACTGTTTGGATTATTTGAGAAAAGGCAAAAAAAGTGAGTTCAATTAATATTTCTATAAAGATCAAATGTTATTTGAGGGTAAGAAATAAAAGCAGAAGTGAAAAATTAAAAATATTAAGAGTTTGAACCTCACCTTCAAAGTACATTTTCTGACTGGCAAAAATGCTTGACTCATTCTGAATGTAATTCTTACAGGCCTCAATAGTTTGATATTCTTTAAATATTTAATTTACATTTTGTTTCTTTCTTCATCGAGTCTTTAAGGAAACATAAACAAATGTCCTTAAAGCTCCTTTTGATTTATTAATGGTAGCCACTTTCCAATTTCTTCATTTTCTCCATTTCTAACTCATTGTTATCTATTTTATATTGTCAATGTACTGTTGCAAAATCCATCAATTGTGCACTTACTGTTCTTAATATTTGTTCTTATTATTTATCATGATGTGATTGAAATAATCACTTATTCCAAGAATTCATATATATTCTCTGTTTACTAGTTCAGTCTGTCATCCTCCCCTTGAGATTTTCTTGCCTGCAAATTTAGGATTTCCTTAAGACCAAATGTTCATGCTAGTTATATTTTTGTTTCCATATTAAATTGTTTAATGGATGGACTTGGATACACCCAGACTGATTGAATCCTCACTCTAAAATGACCCATCAACTTAACTCACTGTGAGCATTAAGGTTTTTTCCTTTCCATTATTTTTCTAATTTAATTCCAATTTTAACTTGTCTTTAGACTTAGAACTCCTGATATCTTGTAAGGCTGAACTCCATTAGAAATGACGCTAACTCTTCATATCATTTCAATCAAGTACCCCTGGGTGGTACAAATGGTCAATGTGATCAGCTGCTAATTGAACGTTTGGCAATTCGGTTTGACATAAAGTCTCCTCAACCAGAAGCCACTTCTGAAAAATTGGAAATAAAATCCTTTGTAGTGCAGTTATACTCTGATGCACATTGGATAACCATGAATCTGAATCAACTCAATTGCCATTGGAAGTTTATCAAAAATTTTATGTTTGTTTTCAACCAGAGCAGAAATTCTTATGGTCCACTCTTTATTGCCAAGTTTCATAAAAGTTGGCTTTAAAGCAATTGAAAAGATAAATACAGCTGCATTTACCGTCCTATCCCAAGTTAAGTCACAGTAATCTGGAAAGGCTTACATTCCCAGGAATAACTGGCAGCCTCACTGTTTCTCCAGGATTTGTCTAAGGTGAAGCCGCAGACCACCAAGAAATGCCTGCACTGGACCCAGACCTGCTTCAGGTTGCCAGGACCCATGGTTTCACAACAAGCAAGGGAATGTTCCCATGGAATCTAGATGAGCACCTAGCAACCAAAAGACCGTCACTGGGGGTGACGATGACAAAAGACTGCCATTACTTCCCCAACACTTTCATGCTATTGCCCATGTCTGCCATCACTCTGTCTGTCCATGCTTTGCACTGCTGTAAGCAGGAGTGTTTCAGTGATGCTGAAAGTTAAGTCACCAGTATTTCAAATACCATCAGAGTCATCCATGGTGGACGATTATCAGTGGAACTTCCAGACAATGACAAAGTAGGAAGAAAGGAGAGACAAATAATTAGGAAAACTGGGTTATATTAAGGAAAATGTGACATCAGAATTGGAGGAAGGCTCATTAACAAGCTGCGATACACTGATGGCACAGCCTTGTCTACTGAAAGCTAAGAGGACTTGAAGCATGTATTAATATACAAGATGACATACAGCCTTCAGTATACATTACACATCAATATAAAGAAAAGAAAATTCCTTACACCTGGACCAGTAAACAGCAAATATCATGATAAATAGAGATCAATTCCTCACCACAGCTTTCCTGAAATTTTTCTTACCAAGGTAGAATTCCCTTCTCTTCAGACTTCTTCACAATAAGACCCTGTGATCATCCTGAGTCCTTTGAGAAGAAATGCCAAAATTATCCCTTTAGAATCCAAAAAATATAAATATTGTCACCAAAACCTTTGGAGCTCATATTTCTGACTTGATTGGCCCAGATAATCCCCTAAGAAGACACTGTTTTGCAGGAACCTAAGAAGATTAAGATAAGTGTATTACCAAAAGGATGTGTCTGTCCATTACACAGTTCAATGTGACAAGTATAGAGAACCCCAAAAGAAATTAAAATTATTTTATCGTTTAAAAGGTATAGTTAATGCAAAGAATTGTCATCATACAGTTCATGATCCTTTTCCTTATGTTTACCATTTTGTCTTTGCTATGATAAAGATATTTGCTAAATTTAGTGCCTGCCCAATGTCAAAAACAAACATTGGTCTCTACCATTAAAACTTTCTTTAGGTATGAATGATTTTTGTATAAATTAATGTATTTATAAAGTTTTAAAAAAGATTTCCCATCTTTTTACATAATCATTTCATAACTACACACAAACATACACTTATTTCTGTTAGAAGACCAGTTCTTGTGCAGGAAAGGGGAACCGATCACAACAATCATCACATAACCACACACACACACACCTCCAGGGGGATGAACAACAGAAACCGTGGGGGAAGGGAGAGAGTGGTGGAGGTAAGATATGAAAATAATAACAATTCACAATTTATAAAGGGGCCACCAGTGGGGAAGGGGAAAAAGAGGAGCTGATACCAATATATACAAATATGCTTGATACAATTGATGTATGGATTGTTTTAAGAGCTGTAAGAGGCCCCAATACAATGAGCTTTTAATTTAAAAAAAAAAAAAGACCAGTTGTTACTACTATAAAACTAAATAGGAAATTTGACAAACGCTAAAATGGTACTAAAATCTGGGCATAAATAACATTTTCAATTTTAAAAAAGAACAAATTTGGAGCTGAACAGTTCTAAGTGTTTGGTGGATTGTAGACCAAGAAATCTCCGAATCTCTACTAAATGGACAAGATACTCTGAAGAAAATTTCAGGACAGTTGATTTTTCTGTCACGTCTTACTCTCGCCCCATTAGTCTCTTTACTGCCCCTCTCACATCTTTGTTCCTGAGCGTGTAGATTAGAGGGTTAAGACTAGGTGTGACAACCGTGTAAAAAAGGGCAATGAATTTGCCTTGATCTTGAGATTTCCCAGATGGTGGTTGGAGATAGATGCACATCACTGGAATGAAAAAGAGAGAGACAACCATAAGATGGGCTCCACAAGTCCCAAAGACTTTCTGAAGTCCAGTGGTTGACTGCATTCTCAGCACAGCCCTGGCAATGGCACCATAGGAGCTGAGGATGAGAATAAGTGGTATAATGACAAAGATGGAGCTCATGATCATGAGGGTCAGTTCATTGGCACGGATGTCAACACATGACAATCTCAGCAGGGCTGGAACTTCACAGAAAAAGTGATCCACTCGGTGATGTCCACACAGGGGTACCCAGAAGGTAAAGGAGGCATGAAGTGCTGAGGTAGTCAAACCACTTAACCAAGAAGCCACAGCCAAGAGCCGGCAAAAACGAGGTTGCATGAGGGCAGTGTAATGCAAAGGTCTACACACTGCTGCATAGCGGTCATAGGACATCACCACCAAAAGGACACATTCTGTGGTTCCCAGTGCAAGGACAAAGTAGAGCTGAATCATACAACCAACATACGAGATGTTCTTCTCAGGACCCCACAGGTGAACCAGCAACTGAGGGATGGAGCTTGTGGTATAGCAGAGATCCAGAAAGGAAAGGTTTGAGAGGAAGAAGTACATGGGAGTGTGCAGATGGGAGTCCAAGCAGGAGAGGATTATGATGAATAGGTTACCAACCAGTGTCATCAAGTAGAATATCAAGATAACCACAAAGAGAGCCACTTCCAGATGAGGCCAATTAGAAAAACCCAGTAGAATAAAGTAACCTTCAGAACTTGCATTTTTCCCATGGTCATTCATTTCCTATGACCTGAAGGAAAGAAGTACATATATCAAAGGCTGCCAACCCATTGTTAAATCTTTGCAAACAAACTGGAAAACAAATGTATGTCACTTCCAAATAGATGTACATTCCATTATGGCAGTAAAATTTGTATATTCTTCTTATTTTCCATCCAGTATTCTTCCTGTCATATATTGAATCAGAGGCTTCTCATCCCTTGGCATTTGGGTAATTAAAAATTAGAGATATTAATTTGGTAGGGAAAAATTACAGTGTGTAAGAAAGATGAGGACAGGATAAGAAAGGAGGGTACTCAGGTGGAAGAAAGAGGAAAGGAATTCTAATTGCTGTTGTTAGAGTTAAGAGTCACGGGGTTGTGTGGTCTGTACCACAGGGCTTGAAGGTAAGTTCTACATATGTCCATGTGCTCTAAGACCACAAAGAGACATATTTAGATGTGGCATCATAATTTATAATTATGTCATATGTTTTGAGTTTCTGAAATTTGGAATAGGGCTTCTGAATATATATTAATGCAACTAAAGGTGTGTGAGCATTACAAGTTATCTTATGGGAGGGTTTGTGTGTTCTTTGGAATAAAGGTAAGAAATTAAATAGGCAATAAAGGATTATTTTCATGGACTGTTTCTCTCATGAATTACCAATTGTTCACAGGAAAGATAAATGCCTGCAATTACGATATTAAGATTTGGATTAGGATTCCTGGTGGTGCAAATGTTTGGAAATCAAATGTGATGATGATTGCACAACTCTTCTTAATATGACTGAACAATTAAATTGTGTGATATGTAAAGTATAGAGCATTAAAACTTTTTTTAAATTACAGCCTAGAAACTACTTTGCAGAGCAATTCTATCCTGGCACATGAGTAGCTCTAAATCAAAATGCAGCTCCGCAGCACACAACAGCAACCGCAATTGCGAGAAGACAGAGTGACCCTCTATTTAAGTGCTGTTTAGTACTTTCGCCATGTCACTTCTGTTGCCTTGCCTGTAACTGTCAGTCCTTCCTTTCCACTCACTAGAGCCTCGTGAGTGACAAAGAGCAATCTAAAATTTAAGGTACTTGGCATGACGGAGACTTCTAGAAGGATTGACCTGATTCCATTTGGTCAGTTTGATCATTTCTCAGAAGTCATTCCTGCTTTGCAATACTCAGACGTTTGCAAACCACATCAAGGGTTACTAAACTAGGTCAGGATGAATCTAACTGCTTGCCCAGATGTTCCAGGAAGTATGTGACTTACTGGGTAAGACAATTCTTATAAGGTTCCATTTTCAGCACCCCAAAAAAAGGAATGTTTCCCACCTAGTCTAAGGGATATGGCCAAACACAACTACAGTAGATTCATCTGCTGACACTTCTG